TCAGTAAAATTGCGGAAGACCTCAACAAGATCAAGCACTGAATCTTTCCTCATTTTGACATCTGTCAAATTATATGCTTCTACAAGTAAATCTCGAGCCTCTTGAATGGCAGATATGTATGTTTGTTGGGATTTTATTGCTGGTTCAGCTATGGTGACAATTTTCTTTTTTTTGCTTTTATTTGAATTGTTTTATTTTGAGCAAGTTTGAGCTCAAGATCCTGCGAATTAATTGTGTCACTGCTGAATGGACCATTTAAATTTGTTTTAGTGAATATTGTCAATGAAGTAATTATTGGTGTCCTTCTAGAGTTCCACATGGAGGCTGAAAGTCTTGCTACATTTTTGATATTAAATGAGAGCTTAGTGAGTGGAGAAGATGGGAGGCTCGTCTATAAGACTAGTGAGGAGGAACTCATCTCAGCCATTCTATTTTTTATCTTTTATTTTATAATTTTTAAATATTGCTTTTTTTTCCGGGGTATTTTTTATGTAAATGAAAAGAAAGTAAAAATTGAAATATCACGTGATATTATGTTAGATCATCTGATCACGCTTCAGGAGCGCGTCGCGCGTTAAGCCTTGGTAAGGCTGGGGCGAAAATTTTTGTGTCCAGAGGGTCGAAAATCGCGTATTGGTCGAAAACTGTTGTAATAAAGGGGTGCAAATGTCAAAAATTATATCTGTGAGATGCTGTAGACGAGGCGAGCCCGAATATTGAATTAATATTTGCGTAGCTGATGGTAGGCGGAAGTTGTAGATGAAAATGCGATTTCCGAAAGTTTGATGTGATTTAATATGTATTCAGCTTTCTAGCTATGACACATGACCGGTGCTATGTATACATTTCGGATGACTCTTTTGACGTTAAAGACACTCATACTCTGGATTTCATTCGCAAATACCACTATGAGGTGTGTTCGCCCACACAAACAGTCGACCCTCCTCCGTTAGTACCCACCTAAGGGAATTTCAAAACCTTTGGTTATCCAAGCATGCCTTCGTCATCCATGCATACCAGCGCTGCGCGTAAAGTGGTTGTGTTTTGCTTGATTCGAACCAGCGATCTACTGTCTCGAGTGGGATAAGAGTCCAAGCTATCCAGACTCTACATGGCAGACCGGCCAAGACGATGTACCACCGCACCATCCAACCATGGCGATGTTTATAGTGTCAGCTGCACTCTCGCAAGCGAAGCCTTGGCGCGCACAAAGCTCAATTTGTAAAACTCTTGCCAAAATTCGAAATTTGACGATCGTCGAAAACGTATCCCTCTTCTGCATCATCTTGTAAACTTGTCCTGATCCCTCTCACTTCCACTCCAAAGAGCTATCTCCCAGATTTGTGCTCCACGCTTTGCTTCCTCCGTCGGGTATAAATATCGGCGCGGGCGTGTATTTGGTGACCGGCTGAAGCCAGAGAAAGTCGACGAGAGGTGTGGTCATTGGAATGAGGATGTACTAGGTCGTACTTGTAGACTTGATGAAGCTTAGTTGAGAATCGGAATCTTTCGGAGTGAAAGATCGACATGGTGGAGTAATTTGAATTTTTGCCTCGTGGGCCAACTTTAATATTGCGAAATTTGACTGAACTTGGCTGTGGGAGAATATTTCACTCCAAGGTTCGTAGAGGACACCGCGTACAGGTGTTGAGTCTTGCCCCCCGATTTGATTTCATTTAGCCCGTTCAGGTATATCTAGCTATAGTATTTACACAGGAGGAAACCAAATTCGGTTAAAACCCCCCCACAACTGTCTGTCTTGTATCTATTGGTTTTCTGAGGTTTCCTGTAGGAAATGCGTTTACACTATTTATACAGTGTGAATTCCGTCTTATCCTTGTCCATGTCGTCTCATCTTTTCGTCCAATACTATTTCTACTTCCCCTGCAAGCCGGGATTGTTCAAACCAGCCTTTTGCCAGGATCCATTTTGTGATTCTCTCTAGATCATCTGGGCTGTTCATCAATGCCGTAAATGACCGATCTTTTGCCTTTCGAAGCACCTTTCCTCTTCCCTTTGCCCACTGAGGACACGCCAGGACCATTTGTTTGACATTTTGAGACGGATATCTACACTGGAATTTTGGATTAATCACTCCGGGGACTTTCCTTCGATACAGATGAGAATTGAGACCAATGTGCTCACTTCTTATCTGAACTGCAATACTGCTTTGGGCCCGGGAGACTATTCTCAACACCTGTCAGTGGTGTCCCCTACGAACCTCCAGTTCTCACTGTAGAGTCTGTAGAGCCGAGATTGAGTAACAAAGTCCTCACTCCGACGAGGATTCCCAATCGCTTTCGCGGTCTGTATCGTCTTCATCCCTCAACACATTCCCCTATCACCGTTATCATGAAACTAACCACGATCAGACCAGATGGTAAGGTCGGAGCCCTACTCGTCACCAACCCTTGATCATGGTGGAAAAGCCATCCGATGAGTTTCCGGAGCGTACCCAGCACCCGATACGGAGATGGTGGATTGGATCAAGTTGGCCTCGATCGTTACAAAGAAGGGAGATATAGATCAATATGCGCACCTCATGTGGTCCCGGTGTCTAGGCCTCGCCTTGCCGGGGCTGCAGGTTTTTGGAGACTTTTTCCCGCGCACGTAGTTTCCGTTGCTGCCATTTATATGTTTCTAAGGTAGAAGGTTCGGTGGAAAAGGTGGCTGGAATCCACGGGCAAATACTGAGCTGAACGGCTTTTCATCACGGGCAATATATCAATGATGTTACAAGTAACAAAAGAGGATAAGAGCACTGTAAAAGGTATGACCTGAGCCAGAAAGGAGCCCAATGTGCTAGATATTCATAGACTCAAGTAGCACAATAAACATACCCCACTCTCCGCCCTCATCGGTGAATACCCACCTCGGAAAACGTCTAAAAACTTTGTGTTATCCAGATATGCCTCCGTCATCTATTAACTTTTCTCCGCGCGATGCGTGATCTGAGGTGTCTCTTTCCCAAGTGGAGTAGGTGCCCAGGCTACTCAAACTATACCAGAACACCACCAGGAGGCAGACCACGACACCTTCCATCGTTGGCATATTTTTATAGTGTTAGCTGCATGTGCAAGTATTCTCAAATGAGTTGATAACATGGAGATGATTTTCATTTTTAATTGAGTGCGTTACCTATTTTATCTACATGGCAGGAAGTTCCTCTAGATACATGAACATGAGGGTTTCGGGTCACTAGTGTATTTTCCAACATAACTCTTAGTCTCAGCGAGAAAGGAAAAATATCGGGGATCCTAGCACTAATAGATGCCTCTCAATATCTAAGAGCAAACATTTAGATATACTAATGAGTGATGATTTAGGTCAATCAAATCTCTTGTCGCCAGTCCATATTTTTCAAACGTTAACTTTTTTAGTACTGCAGTCATGTTACTGCATTAGGTACAACATCCGTAACATCATTACTGCCATAAGATCGAGGACAAAGGTGGAACAGCTGTCAGTGGTGGCATCTACGAGCCAGTGAGTGAAATATTATCTCTAAGCCAAGATTCAACCATCCCCCAATGGTTGAATCAAATTTTTATTGACTGAGATTGTCGTCAGAGGGAGTGGTGCAGGGCTGATTTTGGTCGAAACTACCGGTTTGTGGGGATTTGTCAACGATACATATCACGGAGAAAATAATCAAGACCATTCAAGACAATATTTGTTGAGGTTAAATATAGTATTCCGCCTCGAGACACCTGGTGATTTATCGGCTACTAATTGATACCGTAAAGCCACAAAAAGGCCCGCAACCCTTTCTTCCGGCACTATTTTTTGACAGGAAATTGATCGAACGCAAAACTTGGGTTACTGGGCATGAATTTTCTGTGACGAAATCAAAGCCTACGAGTGAAGATGGGAGGGGTACTAGGCTGTGGAAGCTCTGGAGGTAGATGTAATGGAGGACTAAATATTTGGATTAAATCATCTTGAATGTTTGCAGAGGCAGTCAATCCTTCAAAACACTTACAGCTTTCTGAATCGCTGAGTAGTGGCTAGGCCTCAATTTTTAATATGCTGGGCTCTTTTGAAGGAGTTGGTATATTAGGCTGTCTTTACAGACTAAGATAACTGGCACCTGGCTCTGTAGTCTAATGTTGTACGCCGGCATGACGTTAGGTAATCAAAAAAAAACCTTAGGATTGGGTCAAGGTGGCGCATTAGCTGAAATCAGAATATGGTCCTCAGTGTTCAAGCTTCCCCGAGATCATTTCCATAGATTTCAAGTGCAATCTATTCCGAACCCCATGTAGTAAAATTGAAATTTTGTCTGATTTATAATTTCTTGCTATCATGGTGAAAGACTTCCTATCTGATACTAGCAATGGTCGTATACTTTGGACCGTAGCTATTCCATAGCTCAACCAGTTTAGTGGTGATGTAAATTACGAGTATTCGATCGGATGCAATTTGTTGAGATTAGTTATTTCTAGACTTCACAATAAAACGAAGCCATGCTTCTTTAGCTCTGCGCTTACAAGGCCCAAACACCTTTAATGTTTTTCCGGATACAGTATTTTCGAGGCCGAAATTGTAAAGCTGTTGGTCCACAATAAAGCCTAGGATTAGGATAGATTTTTAAAACTTTGATCGAATTATAGCTAAATTTAACAATCCCACTCTTACCACTAATCTGCTGAGGCTTCTACTGTAATATTAGCTCCAGAAATAGCTATTATCTGTTTTGTGTAATTATCCCGGGGATATTTCGCGATAATTATGACGTCATCTATATCTGAGGTACCAGTGCTGTATGCGCATGGTCGTGGGTGATAGTTTAGCAATTGACCATATACTAACGTTCAACGAGTTATGTGCGTAGAGATAGACTTTGGTTAATCAAATGAGTGCAATGACCCAATATTTGCCAGCCATATTATAATTACTGCTTTTAAATCCACAGATATCAATGTTCTCATAATTATCTTATTTCCTACTAGATCGAGGGTATCCAAAGTGTAATTTATACTTCCATTAGAAGTGTGCGGCTAGGTATCCCCTGTACGGAGTGAGTTATATTTGTCCCATGTAGCTTTCTGAACTGCTCGCTGTTCGTTGATAATTTTCCAAAGTTCTTGGTTCTCCTTCTTAAGCTGATTTTCGGTGGATACAGAAGCTTGCGAGGTCGTGGAGAGTTGCGAGATTGCTCTTTCTAATACGTCTCGTGGAAATCCATATGATGATACCGTCTGATCGAACCGTGATGTCGTCAAGGGTTGGATAAATTGGGAGTTGAGAGTGTAGTTTTGTTCAGTTAGCTTTGGCTTGGAAACGACGCATATCTTAAGATTCTTTTTTTTAGGGAAAGGTAACTCTATCTTTAAGTTGGTTACCGGGGAGCTAAAATCCACGCATTCAGAAGCAAAGCGGCGATTTCCTGTGTCCCATCGGTAGACTTTTCCGGATTCATGGCCGGTAAGGAGGTACGTTCCATCATAACTCAAACTTATAGCAAGCGCCGATCCAGCGTCGATAGGGGGGTTCCAAGGTGTAGATTTTACTTGCACTGGAGTAGCCTGGAGTTCAATGTCGTAGAGAGGATTTTTGACCGAATCTAGGGTCAGGAACTCTATCATTTGAACCGACCCATCTTCCAAGCCTGCGAATACAGCTCTGTCACAAGGATCTAGTCCTAAGCAGAGTGGGATCTTTGGTAGCAAAAAGGTTCGTAATAATTGTCCAGAGAGATAGTTCCAAACAATTATTGTGCTATCCACACTACTCGAGACACAGATATTTGAATTTCCTATACTGTGACCCAAAACCATGCTTGAAATGGCCGCTTGATGATTGGAGAAGCAGCGCAATGGCTCTTGTGTTTCATTGGAAGGTATGCCTAAAAGTTGCGGAATAGACCAAACATGTATATTGGAGTCGGTGGAGCCACTCAAAATATGTAGATCAGTTGCTGCTAGTGAGTCTACTATCTGTAAGTGAGCAGCTGAGGTTGAGACCTGTTTCCCAGTTGAAACCTTGTACAAATTAACGTCAAGATTCGGATGCTTTATGAGCAAGCTTACCTCCCATAGGATTATTCTCCCTTCTGCCAATCCTACCGCTACGATGCTTTCTCCCGCTATAGCGAGGCTGTGTACCCTTTCAGGAAAAGAAACTAGCGCTTCAAGGTTACCTTTTTCGCGAGAGTAGACATTAACGATAGCTTTATCTGCCTGAGCAACAAAAATATGTGAAGAATTTGCAGCAAGCGAATTGGGATGTGCCGAACCTTTCTTGAAGCTTGAGCGAATTGTGCACTCTGGCTGGATCTCATGGATATACACTCCAACATCCTTTAGCATTCCATTCTGCGTTTTGCTAGAGTGCGCGCGTGTTGCGACAATAAAATTTTCTGAAGGCATAGCTTTGAAAATGGAAAACGATGCAGACTAAGGTCGTGATAAGGACTTTAGAACGTGTATTTAATGGTCGGATAGGCGAAATGGTAACAGTAGACAGTAGTTCACCAGTGGAACGTTTTCTTCATTTCTTGTCGTGACGACAACGCTTCATAGATTTAACTTTAGTTTTCAGCGCGCTAACGGAAGTGGAATTGCAAATTAATCGATTGCAATCGGTTCAAAGAGCTCGTAGAAGCAGATACGTCATCATGTGGGGGTACAAGACGATTTCGCCATGGATGCGCTAGCCACAATCAAATGTTGACCTCTTATGACCAGCAAGAGAAATGGAAGAATCAATGTCACAGAATATCTTAACTCTTTGCGTAACAAATACGATCGATCGGGAACCATCCCGCAGTTGATTCAAAAATTGGAGTTATTTTACACAACAATGCCATAACATTCGAAAAACAACGACATTTTTAACTGCCTAATCAACAAAGCCATTGATTGGGGTCCGCCACAGACACATCGCCACATGTTTCTTCCCAAGTCCCAAGTGACGAAATCATATATCCTATACGACCTGTTACTGTCATAAATACCCTTCACTTACTCATGCCGCCCCAGTTCTCCGCATAGGCTGGCTCTTGGCCCCCCCTTCCACCCGTTAATTCGACGCTTCCTGTCGTCGAAATGGTCCTTACAGGGCCACCCAACCATCCAAGTATTACACAAACAAACGCGGAGCCTATCTGCGAGGCGAGTTTCCAATACTCGCCCCCAAACCAAACCGAGTCATTAGGTGTCACTATGACTAACTTCCTTGCAGATGAAGCAAGGGCTTTTAATTTACGCTTCTATTCGACTTTAGTTATCTAAATATTCAGACATATAATGAATATGGTCTGTCTGTCGATTATGATGTGGCTCCGATTGCAGTTGGATGTAAAATAATGTAAAGGTCTTTATCAAGTATCTTTAATATATATATTTATTATGGAAATACCCTCCCGTGAAGTCTACTCTAGTATGTACATGTAAATGCCTTCTTTTATAGATATTCCCAAAGTCAAATATAGAGCACCTATATCCCCTGAGATATATGTTCGATACAGAGTTGTGACCTGCCTCCCATATTATGCGCAAGTCCGAAACTACGTTCTACCATGTCCGTCAGTTCTGTATTAAGTTTTCCAGCCTTCATTTCCGTGCACATATCCTAAAGTGTAATTTGCCCGTAGATGTATGATCAGCGGCGGAAACCTGCAGTCTAATAAACACAGTTTAGACACTATGGGACTAGAGTCTAACTCTAACAGCTTCGCAGAGGCTGAGCGTATCGTCAGTGGGTACATTAACCTACTGGCTGCTATAACCGACATACAGCTTCGACGCGCTGTCTAAAAGAATGGAGAGGCTTTACAGGCCATTATTACAAACATCCTGCGCGGAAACCCCCAAACCCTATCCAGCGGGCCATCTGAGGCTGCCAGTAGCAGCAAGACGACAACCCTTCCGCCACTGGCTACAAAGCCAGGAGGAAAGAATAACGCGAGCACCCCACGACCTGTGCAAATCCTCGCTAGGGAAACCAGCAGTCAGTCGAAAGGCAAAGAGCCGGCTTCGACAAAACCTACCAGGCAAGTCGAAGGCGACGAGCCCAAAATCACAAACAATACTGAGAGATCCTGTACCCAGGTGGTCAGGAAAAAGCCAAAGCCTGTACAACCAGTAGCGCCAACACCTCTACCAGTCAACGGGTCCCAGTCAAAAGCAACTGGGCCTACACAATCACCGAGGTCAAGCACCCTCGCTTCCAAGCCGGCCCGCCCAGACGAGCGTGTGTTCCTGCGGGTCAAGCCCGACCACCCGTGGAGACGCATGTCTCCCCACTACATCAAAATAAGCCTCGCAAGCAAGCTTCGCTTGGCTAACTCTGCGATCAAGTAGGTCACTGTCGTCAACTCAGGGTTCGCGATACAAGCTGAAGGAGATGCGGCAAGAAACGCGCTCCTCTCGGGTGCCGTGCTCTTGGAGAGTACAGAAATAAAACTGGAAGCTGCCTCAAACTAGATCTCGGTATTAGCTCCAAATGTACTAGACAGGCTCTACACTCCAGAGGGACCAACCCCAGTCACACCGGAGATGGTGATGGAAGAAGCGACTTTAAAGACGGGCACTAGACCAACCTCGGCTCGTGCGTTTGCGACAAGCATGGCAAGTCCATCAACCGACTGGGTGCTGCATTTTGCAACCGGTAAGCCAAAACTGGGTGAGCGACTTTTCAAGGAGAGTGGTCGCCTACACGAGCTCCAGCGCAAGGCCAAAATTGCACAATGCAACCGATGCTGGGGACATCACCCAACAAATATTTGCTCACGAGCGGTGCAATGCTTAAGATGTGGATCGATCGAGCACAAAGCATCTGTCTGTAAGCAGACAATTCCAAGGTGCATGAACTGCCATGGGCCACATGCAGCCATCGAACCTCACTGCATGGCTAGACCAACAAGGGTTGGCGGCAAAACTGTGCAGCGAACTAAAGACCAGCTATCGGTTATACGTGAGCAAGGTCAGAAGGAACGGAACGCTTCAATCCAAGAGATGGAAGCAAAGCAGAAAGCCACCGAGGCTACTGCCGACAAAGAAACCGCTAACGTAACTCAATGCCCGTAAGGGACCACAACCTTACCGAGCTACACACAACAGCAACAACGATCTCGTTCCTCTGTGCTAATTTGGGCAGAGGAGACCCGGCTACGTACATTATCCTGCAATCCGCTTGGGATTCAGGAACCGATGTCCTACTTATCCAGGAACTCTGGACCCAAAAAAAGGACGGCCTTTGGCTCACCAAGTCGCACCCCGGATTCGATAGGCATTTGCCTCCCCGTGTCGCTGCCAACCCTTCAAGGCCACGCTCCCTCATCTATACGCGAAAAGGGATCAAGTGCCAACAGCAAGCAATCTGCGAGACATCACCAGATCTCACCGCAGTAACGGTAGAAGGAGTCACATTTTTCTCCGTGTACCGCGCTCCTGGAGCAGACCTTATGCCGCTACTATCATGGGCTCCATCTGGGCCTACAGTTATTGGCGGAGACTTCAATGCTGTTCACACCTACTGGCAGCCAATGGCTACAAGGCTACACGGCGACGGCCAGGTGCTTACCGAGTGGATGTTCGAGCACGGCATGGACCTATCCTCCACACCGGGCGTCCTGACACACGATGTTGGAAATACACTCGACCTAGTCTGGTCTAACGCTGGTGCCCTTGCAGATGTCTCGATAGAGCTTGACTCGACATCGGATCACAGAACGATTACTGGAGACGTTCCCCGCCCGAACTCGAAAGCCAGAGCTGTTATCAAAACGGGCCAACCGGTGCGAGTGACAGATGACGCCCTCGAAGACTTCGCCAAGGTAATAGGTAGGTAGGCCCATGGAATAGGGATCCAGCCTATGTTCTCAACAATTGCGGTGGACAACCTTGCGGATAAACTGGTTCAAACCATTAGCGATGCTATCAGGGCTACCGGAAGACGCGGGAGTGCGAAAAAGGGTAGGACAGCACCTTGGTGGACGCTGGAGTGCTCACAGGCCAAACGCGAATACAGGATATTCAGGGGCGAAGAGAGTAGAAATGATTTCCGTCGCATAGTCAAAAGTGCAAAACACCAATACTGGCGGCGAAAGTTCTCGGAAGCTACAACTGACATCGACATGTATCGGATGGCACGTTGGGCTAAACCGCAACCTACATCTGCTGCTCCGCCACTCCAAACTCCTGATGGTATGGTCTCGGATCCAGGAAAGCGTGCACTTCTATTGCGCGATCTCCTTCTCGGCCGGTTCACCAGCCAAAAAGACGTGGACACCGAACACCTTGAGCCAGGACGCGGAAACCTTCCATGGGCCTCTAGCGTCACTGATGAAGAAGCCAAGTGGGTCACAACGGCCTGCCAGAATAAAGCTCCTGGAGCAGACGCGATTTCTGTGCGACTTCTTAGGAAAGCCTGGCCGTCAATTGGACAAGCAGTGAGAGTACTCTTTGAGGGCTCATCTCGACTGAACCACTTCCCGAAGGCATTCAAGTTAGCCGAAGTGATTCTCCTCCCCAAGCCTGGCCGAAATCTCAGCACAGCTAAAGTATGGAGACCCACCGCACTACTCTCCTCTCTCGGCAAAGGTCTTGAGAGACTTGTCGCGAGGCGAATGGCTAACATCGCCATTTCGTACAAGGCCGTGCCGCAGCAGCTTTTTGGAGCACTCTACGGCAGATCCGCTAATGACCTCGTCTCATACGTCATCCATGATGTGGAGCATGCAATGAAGAAGCAGAAGAAAGCAGTCCTTGTCACTCTGGACGTACAGGGTGCATTCAACGCTGTACTCCACGGACGACTGCTGCAAAGAATGAATAAAGTTGGGTGGCCGAAACCAGCTATCACTTGGATAAAGTCTTTCCTGGACAAACGATCCGCCCGCGTCAGACACGTGGATGGAGTAACAGACCCAATTCACCTTGAGTGCGGGCTGCCACAAGGATCGCCCCTATCCCTAATTCTCTTCCTCTTTTACATGGCCGAAGTCATTGGGGGCAGTAGCTGGAGATTTGGCTATGCAGATGATGTTGCTATCCTCGGCATAGGCTCTACTCTAAATGAAGCCGCAGCAGCTGTCCAGAGAGAAGTCGATGCAGTCGTAGGGTGGGCTGCTGAAAATGCCGTCTCCTTCGACGCAGACAAGGCCGAAGCAGTCTATTTCCTCGGCCCTAGATCTAGGGGATATGACCTTCCAACGATAAGGGTGGGTCCTCGCGATATTCAGGCATCCGCCGATATCCGATGGCTCGGAGTACACCTCGATCGCGGTCTCACCTTCGAAAGCCACGTCGCAAAGTGGACCAGTAAAGCAATGTGGCTAGTGCAACACTTCTGACGGCTCACTCAGTGCACCCAAGGACCAAGGCCCGACTTACTAACCACAGTGATCCGCACGTTAGTCCTGCCA